GGGTATCATTTTCCTCAGTTAGTGGGCGATCGATATTTTTGTTGTGCGCGCTCTCCTGCATTTGGTGTCAATTGCATGGTTTTCCTGTAAATTGATTGGTGCGAAATAAGTAAAACGTAGGCAGTAAAACGCCTTTAAAAACTGTTATAGGTGAAAAAATATTAGTAGCAGAGCGAGGTTTTGATCCTCGGACCTCTGGGTTATGGGCCCAGCACACTTCCACTGCGCCACTCTGCTACTGTAACGAATACTACTCTTTGTTAACCTGATTCACGTTGTCTTGGTGAAAAAGTCTCTTTGTGAACGCCTCTTTTGTACTTTTGAACGAGTTTGAATTGCCAAGGAAGTCGTGGCCGAGTGGTTAAGGCGATGGACTAGAAATCCATTGGGGTCTCCCTGCGCAGGTTCGAATCCTGCGGACAACGAAAAACGGATGTCTATTTAGGCTTTGCACGGACAATGTTTTGATTATTTGGCAATAACCAAGTCCGAACGCGTTATAGCTTTGAACCTGCGACGGGAGTACCTGAAGCACGACAACGCTTTTCACTATGAAATACTCATCCGAAGTTTCAGTTTCAAAAGACTTGAAATTAAAATTGAAAAAAGCATGTCGTGTCAAAAACGTATTTTTTCATATTCGGAAACCGATATGTTTACAAGGAGATCCTTCAACTAATCTCGCTAATTGCCGATCCAAGTGCGTTCTCCCTCGTTTGTCTCCAATTTCATGGTTTTCCTTTAATTTGGTCGGTGCAAAATAAGTAAAAATAGGCAGTAAAACGCCTTTAAACATTCTAATAGATAAAAACAAATTACTAGCAGAGCGAGGTTTTGATCCTCGGACCTCTGGGTTATGGGCCCAGCACGCTTCCACTGCGCACTCTACTGCTGCCGGATAACTATTGATTTACAACAGCTTTTCAGCGGTTGCTGTTACTAAACTGTTTCATATGTCACGTGGAACCCCCTTGTTCCATGCTTAATAAAAAGTGTCTTTCTCTGTTTGCTTTTTTTCTTCATCATATCCGTAGAGTTAAACTGAAACAATGCTGTAATATAAACGTGGTTAAATCTTCTTCGCACAGTTTTAAATCGATTTTTTTGCGTAGCGTTAGGTTGGCAAGGTAGTCGTGGCCGAGTGGTTAAGGCGATGGACTTGAAATCCATTGGGGTCTCCCCGCGCAGGTTCGAATCCTGCCGACTACGACAAACTGATGTCTATTTTGGTTTTGCGCAGAGAATGTTTTTTTTTATTATTATTATTATTTCGCAATAAGCAAGTCTGAACGCATTAAAATACCCAGGGAACTTTTGACGGTAGTAGCCTGTAGGGAGACCTGAAGCACGACAACGCCCATCATTTTTTCAAAAACCATCTGACTTGAAAATTAAGACTTGAAAATTAAAAATGAAACAAAGCATATCGTGCCGAAAACTTAGTTTTTTCATTCTTGGAAACCAATATCTTCACAAGGAGATCCTTGAACTCAAGATATTATTACCCTCGCTGAATGGCCGATTCCAAACGCGCTAGGTGCTAATAGCATGGTTTTACTTTAATTTGATTGGTAGAAAAGAAGTAAAATGGGCAGTAAAATGCCTTTAAACATCCTTAGAGGTAAAAATATATTTATATATTAGCAGAGCGAGGTTTTGATCCTCGGACCTCTGGGTTATGGGCCCAGCACGCTTCCACTGCGCCACT